GTTACTCTCGATCCATTCAGTCTGTCAATGCTCCTAGCCTATCCATAATGGCCTAAGCTTCAAAACTGAGGGACTAGTGACTTTCCAGTAAGGTTAGAACCTAATTCCTATATACTGCACCAGTGTTTCTTCCATATATAACAAATGTTTTCCAGTACAGGTATTTTAACCCCTACACTACCGGGAGATCACTGTTAATAATTTATTTGGCTAACCCCAGATGATTTTAGTCAGCACAGAGGGTTAAGGCTCTGATAACAGATTTTTTATAACCCACTTTAGGATCAACCAACTTTATATAGATAAAACCTGAAACTGCTAAGGTTATACTGTTTTATCTGGCTGCCGTTAATTTAACGCCATCAATGGACGGCGGCAACTTTTTGTTAACGTTGACGCCATAAATTTTTTGGGCAGGTGACGCTACGGGTGACGCAGTTAACTTTTCACCTGAGCGAAGCGTCAAGCATCAATTTGTTCATCAACTTCTAAAATTGTTTATTTACCCAAGTTCGATTTTCAATTATCTTCATATAAAGACGACCGACAAGGCCATGAGGAAGTTGTTTATCAAATACAACACCCCCATCCCCTCTAATGCTGCCTTGGAGCGCATGTTCTCCATGGGCAAGGACGTCTTGAGGCCCAAACACAGCAGGATGAGTGACAAGCATTTTGAGATGCTAGTATTCTTGTGGGGGAACAAATGAATAATTAAAATTTTTAATGTAAATCATAGTAAATGATTAAAAAATGAATGAATATTTTTTTTAATTTGCATATGTTTTTCATACTCAGGAGAATAAGCGTTTCGGGGCTGCATTTGTACGCCACTGAAAACGCGTTGAAACTAGGTGCTGACGCTAACGGTGTCAATTTATGAAATAGTTTACGCCCACACTGATGGCGCCACTTTTTTTCGTTGACACGTTCAACACTGCTTAAAAGTGATACATCAGTAGGGAAGTTTAGGTTGTATACTTGAGGGGTCATCATTCAGGGAAGGTATTAGTAAACCTTTTAAAGGCAGTGATTGATTCATCTCAGGATTGTGTAGTCAAAGTGGAGCTCAGTTCTGATCCTTTATTTCTTCCTATTAATCTGACCTTGGATCATTTCAGAAGGATTATTCTCTGAAGGCTTAAGGTGGTGTCACACTAGCACTTTTTCCATCAACTATTCCATTTTCTGTTGATTTTTCCACAAGCTGTCATCTCTTCCAAAATATATTGCCAACTTCTGTGGTCAGGTCAAGATCCATACTCAATATTGAGGATAGTTTAGGGATGGATCCAGGAATATAAAAGGAGGGGGGGGGGAGGATCCAAGAAGTTGTGGGTGGGGGAACATGGCAAGCACAGTGAGCTCACCCAGCTGGGTTATTTTGTGGGGGTCCCCCTGGAAATTTTTTAAAATCTGACCAATATCATAGGCATTTTGAGGCCATGTACACTTGATATTAAGAGATATCTGAAGTCAATAGTAAATACTTTCTTTTATACAGTACAAAAATGCCTGAGTACAATACTGCATTCAAGAAAAAGTATTGGAATTTTCTGGTGAAAAGGAGGGGTCTGGACCCCTAGGTCCCCTTTAGATCCACCCCTGTAGTTGTATAAAACAAAATATTGAGCCACATAAAATGACTTAATTTAATTTTAAAAGTATTCTGTGTCACATTTTTAAGTAATTGCTTGAGTGTATGTTTTTTATTATTGTTCATATCCCTCACAGCTGCTTGCTGGTCAGTTGGAGCAGTCGTCTTTGTTTACACTTGACAAATGCAGAATGACTAGCACACTTGTTCTATGTGCATGTGTGTCAGGGCAGGCTCAGAAAAATAACATCCCTTAGGAAAATTGATGTACGGAAATGATGCAAAAATTGCTGGGTTGATGCCACCTTTAGGGGTGAGGGAGCACAACACTTAGAGTCTTTGTGTATACTTCCTCCTCCCTTGTCCATCTGGCTTTGGTAGACAGACTTACTTTATCCTGACAGGTTATAAAGGAAGGATTAATCATGAAATTTCATTGTATTATAACTGAGTCAGCTGGGTCTGGCATGGACCATTTCATGTTATGCCCACAGTAAAACTCTCAAGCCTTTTACCCTTTTGAGATACCTTCGTAGTAAATAGATATCTCTCAGGACTCCGGTTTAAAGCTGGTATATGATTTAATTATTGAATACTGTATTCTAAAATTTTAGGTCCCAGCTACAAGTTTGAGGCCTGGTGTTATTACATCAAGACTGCTGACTACAGGACAGTATATAGAGCTGACCAAGCCTGACTCACTTGTAAACAGGATGTCAGGATCACTCCTCCATTCCTCTTAATACTTAACTCTCTTCAAATCACAAATTTTGACATTGGATGTCTAACACTTATGTTGAGAAAATATGATGAATTATTCTGCAGTTTGTGTGTCTGATGTACACTAAATTAGTATCAGCAGATATTAATAGGGTGACATACAGGTATTTATTGTATCAAAATTATTAGTGTACTTGTGTAAGATAAAGTACAGTGTATCCCCATCTGGTCCTCTGATGAAAATAAGCACAGTTACAGTATTAAAATGTGAGATACAGTCGTACAGTCTTTTGGAATAAGTTTTATAAATGTGTTACAAACATTATACAGTAAAAGACAATTGCTGTTGAATTGAAATCTTCAAGTTGATCCCTGTGTTTGATTAAAATACCACTACTGTGCTGGTAGTAATGAATTGATATCCTTCTTTAGTACTGTATTGACTAATAACCATTAAACAAGTAATAGGTTTCAACACGGTACTTTCTTTCATTACTAAGTTATATCTGTGCATAGTAGTTAATATAATTAGTCATAATAATTACGTAATATAAAATATTAATATAAAATGTGTCTTGTAGATTGTCCAGATTTTTTAAAACTTTCATGAACATCCAAAAATTTTAAGGAATTTTAGCTAAAATTTTGTGGAAGTTTTTGCCTCTGCTCAAATATTGTGTTTGTATTGATGTATTCCATGAAATATTCTAGTGTAAATATATTTTTGTAAGAAATTAGGCTTTTATTTCCTTTCTCCATATTATTGCAAAGTTTCCAAATGATTTTGTTGATCTTTAGGATATGATAACTAGTTGATATAATGGATGACAGTAAGTAAAGTGTGGGACGTACAGTACAATACTTCCTCTGTCATATACACCACTTGTCATCTTATGTTCAAACTTGACACATCATAAACTCATTTCAGGAAAGGGCACAGCATATTTTTTTTTTTTTAATTATCCTTGGGGTACAGACTCTGAATGTAGTTAAGTTAGGATGGGTTAACTTGCTAATGGACATTCTTCTCATTTCAACTTCAGATATTACATCACACAATGGACCAACTTACTGAAGCCTAACTTAAAGGCTTTGACATTGGGTTTTCATACATCAAACGAATATTTAATGGTGGAATCATTTCAAATGGATTTAATTCACACGTACACATACCATGGCTCACAGACTTCCTCAGTGATTAATGCTATGTTGTACCCTTCCAAGGGGCTGTCTCCACCTGTTGCGTCCCCGAAGGCACTAGGACGGAACGGCTCTGCTTCCTCATCAACAGTGCCCTGAAAGTTACTCCCTCTTACTGGAAATATGTGACAACTCCAGCTCTAGCAGCAGTGTGAACAACTCATCTTCCAATTACAACATCCTCCAGAATATACTGAATGGTCTCCAAGATCATCATTCATACCAAGACTATAGTTATGCATGTCAACCTCTCTGACCATGTCCCACCTCCCTCCGTCACAATGGGCCCCAACACGCACCAGTTTGTGGATTCCATCAAGCTCTTCAGCATCACTATAGATTACAAACTGAACTGGAAAGCACGAGTCAGTACAACCATCAAATCTTCCTGCTTTCGTCTCCATATTTTGTGCTGTCTCAAGTTCCTCAGAGTTCCCGTGCCTGAGCTTTTGAGTGTTTAAACAACACTCATGCTTCCTAAGCTCCCCTATGCTTTCCCTGTCTGATCTTCTTCCTTAAATGATACACAAGGAGGACTCCCAGGAGTGCTGAAGAGGTGTTCAAGACCATTCTCTCCCTCTCCTACACCACAAATCAGGAAGCACTCAATACATTGACCCTCTCAGCTACCTCTGATCACCACCATGATCTCTTCTGTCAGTTTGGGATGAGGTTTCTGCACTATCTCCTACTGCCACCTGAGATCCCTCATCTGTGTATGCTGCTCATCACCACAACTGCTTCCAGCCCATATGACCACATACTGATTGCTATAAGAACAGCCCTCAGCCCAACAATTAAAGAATCATATGAGATAGATCTCTCAATTTCATGGTGGTTATGGATCATATTTACTTTAACAAAAGCACCTTTAGGCCATAATTTAAAAAAAAATTTGCATTTCCTCCAACCTTTTCTACTCGGAAGGTAAGAATCAAGTTTTTGTCTGCTGTCTAGAATTTTTTTTCCTGAATTTGATCATTCTGACAACAACTGAAGTAAATATTATTGTTATTATTATTATTATTATTATTATTATTATTATTATTATTATTATTATTATTATTATTTAGAAGACGAAATGTGATTGCTTCATCTCCATTCCTCACACACACACACCTGTACATTCATTAATCTTTCACACCTGCTTCATTATCTTCACAGCTGTGTAGACTTGGTTGTGGACGTGAGTTTTTAAAATTCATATAGAGATGGAATATATTTCCTGTAGGAGGGGGGGTGGGTGGGGGGGAGGAGAATGAGGGGGGAGTGAAAGAGAGATAAGAGAGAAATGATGTGAAATATAAGGATGGGAGAGAGAAAGAAGGGAAGAAAGGAGTAACTGGGATAGGGTAAGGATGATAGATAAAAGTAAGAGATGACAGGAGAGAAATGGAGAGGAGGGGAAAGGGGGGTGTTGGGTGACAGGTGTGGGTAATGATAAAGAGGCTGGCATGGAGGGAAAAGGTTGGTCTGGCCAGCTGCAGGTGTCAGTGGTCTATACTGTAGTGTGGTGGTGTGGCTGTCGTAGGGGAATACAGTATGTGTTATAAAGTGGTACAAATTTAGTACACAGATTGGTCTTGTCATAAAATTAATTCATGTAATTTGTCACTGAACTCATTAACAGCAAACTGGTGAGAAAAAAGAAAGATAATTTTTATAACATACTGTACCGTGACTGCCAGTAATTAAATACAGTTTTTAGCAGCATTCAGTTGAACGAGTGTGTCGATAAGTGGTGCTCAAGTGAGATGGATAAGTGGTGCTCAAGTGAGAGATTGGTATTGATAGTTTTATTCCAGAAATGTATAAGAATAACAGTTGATAAAGTGCTCGATAAGACCAGCCTATTGTATTTTAAACAACTTAAGTGTATTAATATTATAGGAGCATCTGAAGATTAACCCCAACTTATTTCACCTTAAGATTAATCACCCTAATGGAAGCATAACCTAACCTACCCACCCAGGTGGTTTAGGATGGTTAAACTTAAGATAAAATAAGTTATGGGGGACTGATCATCAGGTGATCAATTTTATTTACTATGACTGATAAAGTGAGCCTCAGTCCTAACAGATATACTGTAGTCTATATTAATACAGTATTTATTAAATCTGGCTGAGGCTGAAACAATTGGTGGTGTTAAATGAAAGTATTTTCCACCGCCTAATTAGTGTGTTTGTAATTTCGTGAAAATGTTTTTTATCTCAGAGAAACTATAGTGTGTCCACAGGAACGACAAAATGTCCCACAGGAATCAGCTTGGCTTCCTCAAGTTTGTCCTTCACGGGTTGGTGCTTTTCAAAGTTGTCCCTCTGACAATTACCCCGAAAGTCGTCCCCTTCAGAGTGGTGCTCCTGAGGGCTCTGTTGCCGCGTGGGTTGCTGTTACTGTTGCTGCAGTGGACGCTGTTGTTAATGTTACTGCAGGGTGTGCTGCTAGAAACTGTTGGAGGGGAAGAGATCGAAGGGCGCGTCATCCCGCCCGCTTGGGAGCACCTCTATCACCAGGATGTAGAGGGGGACCTGGTAGTGAGGGAATATCTGCTGCTGGAAGTTCATCCTCGCACAGCCCTTCTCTGTCCCCAGGGCTTAGCAATTGTTAAGGTAAGGTGGGTGCAGAAAGGTGGTGTCTGTATGTCAGTCTCTCATCTTATTACACCCCAAGCAGGGTCACTGTACCATTTACTGTGGATCTTAAGGGCCAGTAGTTATTGAAAGTATTTTATCTCATCAAGCAAAAACAGCAAGATTTTTTTTTTTTACGTTAACTAAGATTCAGTGCACACCTATTAGGTCGTATGGTTTTGACATAACTGACATCCATAAAACAAACTTTTCCCCCACCTAAAGCCTCCTCTACCATTACCACCACTTTCCTCGCCATCATTACCACAACTCAACATTGCAAACACCCACACTTCCCACCACCACCACCACCACCATCACCCAACATCATCACCACCTCCCCCACCACCACCTAACATCTATCTCTATCTCTCTCTCTCTCTCTCTCTCTTTCCTCCTGCCGTAGCTGAGGATGTTGATCAAGACGGGTCAGGACATCATCGAGGCAAACCCAGAGGCGGCGCTGGATGTTCCCTATGCCCACTGGCTCGTGAAGCCTGACGATGGTGTGGTCAGCGACGAGGTGAAGGGCTCCAGCAAGTGCCCAACCCTTCAGGAGTGTCTCGGGTACCAGGCCTGTCTCTTTAACTTTGGCATCGAGTTCTGTCACATGGATCCAGTACCAGGCCAACGGAAGGTAAGAGAGACTGTCTGGCTTTCTGTCTTTTCATCTGTTTATTGGTCTGTTCAACTTCCTGTCTGTTTATTAAGAAAAACTACTTATTGTATTAAAAAAAAAATCTTCAGGAATTGGAAGTTAAAACAAATGATTATATACCTGTGTATCTTAATCTACCTGTGTTTATTCATCTCTCTGTCAATTACCTGTTTATCAATTCAGTAGCTACAGGCATGAACACAAACAGAGCACAGTATGTTATTATCGATTCAATATTCAACTACTGTTTATAATGCCTCGGTCTTATAAGCATTAGTAGTCACTTAGTTGCTGATGTCAAGTTTATGCATCTTACACCTGGAAGGGAAGTGATGTCTCTCCACCTCGACTTAGATAATCTTAAAAAAATGCTAAAAGGAACCTCAGCAGGACAAAACATTCTACCTGTACTTGAACATATATCCACGAGAGCAGTGAATTGTAATAAAAATCACAAATAAGTCACGTTTACTTGCTCATAACAAATATAACCTTGCTAAAAAACAAACAAGTGAATTATGCTTAAATATTAAAAAACAAAAAAATGGATCTTTCTGAAAATCATAACACAAACGACTTACATTCAAATGAACATCCACAATAGAAGTAAATATTTCTGAAAATCAAACAGACCTTCAGAGTCCAGTGGTCACTAAAACTGTACAGTACTCTCTCGCCCACAGAACCTGGAGGTGGTATTGACCTGCATGAGGGAGGGGTCATTGCTGGCGGCTATGAGAGACGTTAAGTACGACCAAGAATACATCCAGCAGATCGAACGAAGGACGCACCTGGTGAGTCGCTCTTGTGTATAGTACTTCTGTATGACACCATGTTACATATACACTGTCCGTCTTACATTTGACCATGACCTGCACTGCGATGACCTGCACTACCATGACCCGCACTACCATGACCTGCACTACCATGACCTACACTACCATGACCTTTACCCACAGGTAGTACACTTGACTTACACTTCGAGGTTGGAGGAGGGGGTGAAGGACTACAGCCTGACAGAGATCTGGAGGAGGGAGGAGGCGGAGGAGGAGGTGTTCCATGGGTCATGTCAACGCCTGGAGGATGCCACCGAGGCGGGATACAGCGGTTACTGTCACCACCAACCTCCTGACCCTGTGGACGTTAGTGAGGTCCTGTGGTCTCTTCTGGGCAGGTGAGGGAGAGGGAGCCTTGGTAGGTGATAGAGGGAGTCTTGGTAGGTGAGAGAGGGAGCCCTGGTAGGTGAGAGAGAAGGTCTTTGTAGAAGAGGGAGAGAAAAAGCCTCCTCTTCCCCTTCTCTCTCTTTCCCTTCTCTCTTTTTCTCCTCTACTAATTCCCCCCTTCACCTCCTGCTACAGGGTACCATCAAAGGAGTGTCGTGAAGAGGTCCGCCAGATCTACTGTTCCTTCCTCTACCACAACAAGGGTCTCTGTCTTCCTCCCTTCGTTGTCGACCCCGGCCAGGTGTGTGCATGTGTCTCAAGTGCCTTTGTTTAACATGTAGATCGATTGGCCCTCATTATCAATAGATTCCAATCCTATACAGATCCCAGCCCTAATAGAACTTAGTCCTAATAGGCCCCAGCCTTTATAGACCTTGACATTATTATACTTACTCAATGATAATGGCTAAGTTAACCTGATCTGATCTAACATAACCTAAGCCATACTAACCCAAACCTAAACTAATCTATCTTGACCCAACATAACTAACTTAACATGACCTAATCAAACCTAAGGCAACATGAATTAACCTAACCTTTAAATAACTTCCCTCAGTGTAACGTAACCTTTAAATAACTTCCCTCAGTCTAACCTAACCTAACCATATGATCTTAAGTTTGTATTCTGTGTCACATTCTGTGGTTCACTGATCCTCCGCACCATGACCAAATCAGCCCCGTGTATGTATGAAGACCAATCATTGTGTATACAGACTTCAAGCATGACACAGGTTAGGATAGAATAGGTCAGGTCAGGTTAGGTTAAGATAGGTTACATTAAGTTATGCTAGGTTTAATTTAGGTTTTACTAGGGTCTATAGAAACCAGTTAATTTTCATTCCCCGTTCACCAGGTAAGCGATGTAGCGCCAGAGAAGATACACCTCGCACACAACTCCTTCCCCCGTCCAGGACCAAGACCTGACCCGACCCTGCGTGTGGGAGTCCTCAGTGACCCACACCGAGTGCTCATACCCGCACGTCTTGGGTTTGTTATCCTGGCTCACAAGGATCCCCCTGCTGTGGTAAGTGGACCTGCCTTATTTCAGTGTCAATAATAATAATAAGTAGGGACCCATTAAAATAAAGGAACCTTTACCAAAGAGGCCTATTGTAACAGGGGTCCCATTCAATCAGTTCACGTCCAACCTTCACGCCACCGTCTACAGATGCAGCTGCTGGGTCTGGTGTACCGTCCTCAGCACCAGTACGTGATCCATGTTGATGCTCGCCAAGGGGAGACCCGCGCTGCACTCACGTCCCTCCTTACCAAACTGATGCCTGGGGCGACTAATGTTAGGTGAGCGGGGGGGAGGGGTGTTTTCTTGTTTCTGTGTTTGTATATTTCGTCCAGATTGCTGATGTTTCATTTAAAAACACTTTGTGGTTTTCTTCTATATACGGAATTATCAAATAAAGATGCACATAAAGTATTATTTGATGACGGGCTAATCAGCACTTAGCGATTTGTCTGTTTATCCGGGAGAGAGGATTGATGGAGGTATCAGACCTCTTTGGACGTACACAGTCTTATATCCTAAAACTCTGTATTATCCTCCTGCAGTCAGTATCCGTCTCTGTCTAAAAATCCTTCAGGATGTTGTGGTATCATTTTGGTTAATCCCTGATGCCTGTATGCAATCTTCCTTTTGTAGGATTCTTCCATATTTTAGTATCCCGGATCATTGTGGTGTTCTTCATAGGATTTTCTTATTTTCTAGAATCCTAGGTCACTGAGATATCCATTGTAGGATTCTTTGGGGACCTAGAAAACTAATGATAAAGAATTCTACCAGCCTCTTGACGTCTCAAACTAATGAGACATCCAACCTGTAGGATACTTCCCCTGTCGCGATCCTTCGTGGCCTCGTGGGGATCCTTCAACATCGTGCGAGCAGAGTTGGAGTCATTCGAAGAGTTGCTGAGGATGGGTGTATGGGACTTTGGGGTTAAGCTGAGTGGTGCTGACCTGCCCCTAAGGGACGTGGATGACCTTAGTGCTACCCTGGCGGCCTACAGGGGGTTCAACTTCGTCCCATTGTTTGGTCAGAGAAACAATGATATGAATGCTGACCAGGGCCTTGTGTTGGACGTTTGGTGAGTGCGTGAGAGAGAGAGAGAGAGAGAGAGAGAGAGAAATCTTTCATAATAGCCACACACAATATACCGATGACTCAAATAAGGAAAGAATCGTTCCATATTCAATCATTGTGATTTCTCTAAAACCAACAGTTGTAACTCCCAGTACCAACCCCCCCTTGTGGGAATAACGAAGCCATAACTCCACAAATTTAAAGTAATGAACCTTGATATTTTACCCCACACATTATCTATATCAGTTATTACATTCATCCATCTATAACATATTGTTGTTGTTTTCATATTTGCATGATAATAGTAAAAAAAATAATATAAATAACATAAAATTAAGAAATATAGGGTTTAATTATTTAGAAATATGGATCATTAATTCCTTAACAGGTTTGGGTTAAGAGGTTCGGTTTCTTAATACCACCTGCAAGTTCCTTCTGTTGACCTGTTTTGACCTTTTGACCCCTACAGGCACGGTTGTGAGGGCTATGTCTACAATGTGACCAGGGGTGGTGGTCAGCCATACCCAGAGGAGATACCTATCTATACTGGGTAGGTCTTATTAGGTCATTTGCATAAAGGATAGGTCATATTAAGTCATGTATAGGTTAGGTTAGCTGGTTATATGTGTAGGGTAAGTCAGATAAAGTCATTTAATTACAGGGTAGGTCACAATAATTCATCTTTATCTTATAAATTCTGTTCTCTTTCTCCCACATGACCTGACCTCTCATGACACCTTTTGACAGGTCACAGTGGGCCATCATGAGCCGGGAGCTGGTGGAGTATGTGGTGACCCCAAGCCTGCGCAGCGACCGAGTCAACCGCTGGCACTACCACCTGCAGACTTCTATTATCCCTGACGAGTCCTACTTCCCCACCCTTACCATGAATTCCCCCTATGTGTGAGTACTCCAAAGATCTTTCAGTACCCCAAACCTCTCCCAGTACCTCAAAGATCTTCCTGTACCTCAAACCTCTCCCAGTACTCCAAAGATCTTTCAGTACCCCAAACCTCTCCCAGTACCTCAAAGATCTTCCTGCACCTCAAACCTCACCCAGTACCCCAAAGATCTTTCAGTACCCCAAACCTCTCCCAGTACCTCAAAGATCTTCCTGTACCTCAAACCTCACCCAGTACCCCAAAGATCTTCCATGTAACAAATAGAATGTGAGAGTGTGGGAGATGGCAGGGATTGTAGGCCGAAGAGGAGGAAGAAGAAGAGGAAGGTGTGTGAGGGCGGTGAAGGCGAAGGGAGGTGCATATGTTTCCTCCTCCTCTTCTTGCTCTCTTAGGAAATACGTGAAGATGAAACTCCAAGGCACAGATGGACAGGAGACGGAGACGAAATAATACCCGGGAAGAGGGAGTAACACCATTCAGCTTAACACACACATAAATACCGTAACTGTAACTCTTGGTTTGGGGGTCTAGTGGTCTTGATCATAAAGGCATTTATATTACCATACATATTTATATTTTCCTTCAGTTCATTCCTTTATTTTATTATTACGTGAATTGGTCCGAGTATAGTGAAGGTATTCCGTTTTTTAGTTAAGTTCTAACTCAACTAGAGGAGGAATTGAAGATTATGATATACACTCTCTAAATGAACCACACAATAGATAAACAGAGACCTTACAATATATCAGAAGTAACACCTATGATTATCACCATCTCCTCAAGTTTAACCCACATCCCGTCCTCCAGACAACCTCACAAACTAAACTGATTTTTCAACAATGTCTTGGAATAAAAGTACTCGGGAAATCGTCTGACCAATCGCCTGGCACCTTTTTTTTTTTCTACTCACACCATTGCATTTGCTCTCAGTCTCTGTTAGGTATATTACAAGCGTTCTCTGTTCTCGAGTTGTGAGAGTGGGGCAGACAGGCAGACAGAGATAAATGGTAGTTAGATAATGAGAGGGGGGGGTGAAAAGAAGAGAAGTATAAGACAAAAAGAAGGAAAGGTTGATAAAAAGAGAGAGAGAGATGTGACAAAGAAAAAGAGAGACAGACAGAAAGTAACAGACAGGAAGAGACATTTAACCTCTCTCTCTCTCTCTCTCTCCCACACAGGAACCAGTCTCTCCCTCTGGGCTTTCACTTCTTGAGAAAGTTTGAAGGGCGGAACACTATCAACCTCTGCCGGCACATGGAGGACACCGACTTCTGCGGTCAGGTGAGTCCTTTGTCCCCTACAGAATATGGTCAGGCTCCTTATCTGAATCCTTGAGGGTGGTAGGAAGGGTTCAAAGTCATCACCTAGGGTTGTAAGATGCAGAAGGAGGTGATTTAGGTCCTTATTTTCTTCTGTAGGAGTTGTAGGAACTCACGAAGAGCTCAAAAATATCAGATGAGTCCTTTGCTTCCTGCAGGATAAGGCCAGAGTCCTTACTTTGATCTGTGGGATGATAGGAAGGGTTCGGGGTCATCAGCTAGGATTGTGGGATGCTGACAAGGAAGGAATGAGGATGCGACAGTCCTTGGAAGGGGTCATCTGGGGTTGTATGAGTTTGCCTAAATATAAACCTTCATATTTCAAGACGATTTTTACCCTCCTAATTGTTATTTACACTTCCTCACCACTTCCATCACCTCCCAACACCTTCCAACACCTCCCTACCACCTTCCAACACCTCCTGCCATCTCCCTACCACCTTCCAACACCTCCTGCCATCTCCCTACCACCTCTCAACGCCTCCCAATACCTTCCAACACATCCCTACCTCCATCCAACACCTCCCGCCATCTCCCACCACCTCCCAACACCTCCCAGCACCTCCCAGCACCTCCCTACCATCTTCCAACACCCCTTCAATGCCTTGCCACTCTCCCCTAAGGGCCCAGGACCTATAGAGGAGGAGGACCTGAAAGAGATGTTGGAGTCGTCACACCGGTACTTCTTCGCCAGGAAGTTCCACACCCACACCACCGCTCACCCCATCAGGATCATGGTCAGTAATTCTTAATCCTTAGTATTATGATTAACAACAACAGGTTTTAAAAGGGTGTTCTTTATCTATTTATTTATATATGTATATCTATTTATATCTATCTATCTATCTATCTATCTATCTATCTATCTGTGTCTGTCTATCGATCTATATATTTATTTTACTCTCTCTCTCTCTCTCTCTCTCTCTCTCTACCCATACTCTTCATCTCTCCTCACACAGGTAGCAGAACAAGTGAGGACCAACTATTATCTAAACCTGAAGAAGTACCTGCCGCGGGCCCTCCTTCATCAGTTGGCTCTCTTGGCCTTCCCTCACCTGAAGCAGCAGCTGGCCAATCATCCCAGTTTGGCTCACCTCACTGTCACTCCTGGAGACCTCATTACGTTCAAGGTGTGTGTGTGTGTGTGCGTGCGTGGTTTTTTATATATTTATCTTCATCATCTTCACTATCATTATCGATAAGAAGTGATGCATCTTCTTCATCACTTTCACCACCATCTTTATTTTAAGGTATATCTCATCTTTTTTGTCACTTTCACCTATTTCATCCATCTTCTTTTCATCACCTTCCCTCAGCACCAACAGTTCAATATTAACACCTGGTTAATCTCCCAACAGGTGTTACCGAGGCTACACCTGGTCAACCCTTGCTGTTCTCTTCCCTTTGATAGGTCCTTCAAGAGTACACAGGAATTCGTATTTTGGCTCGATTTTACCATTGTGAGTGTTAATGATGATGATGTTCTTCTGAAACACACACACACACACACACACACACACACACAATCTTAGTGTGTGTGTGTGCTTAGTTGTGGTGGCCAAAGTAGTTACCATGACCAATCTTCGATGGTATTTTGATAGTAATTGTGTTATTTTGAGTGTTTTTTTTATATGTTAATAGTAATTGTGTTAACTTAATAGATCCTCACCCCTTAAAAAACTCACCCTAGGCCTTTCTGTCCCTCTCCTCTCCCCTCCCCCCAGAACGACGAGGGAGGGTCGCCAGTAGGAGGAGCGCGGGCGTTGGTGAGTCAGAGGCCAATGTGTGACTGTTACCCTGATGGTCACCTGAGAGCCCTGAGGGTCACCACCTGGCCTGAGGACCCTAACACTCCTAAACGGTAAGATAGGTCTCTCTCTCTCTCTCTCTCTCTCTAAGGTCTCATACATATCTTGATGCAGTTGGTCTCCTCCATCCTCTCCACAAGCCCAAACCATCTCAGTCTGCCTCTACGCCAAACCTCGCCAGTATTATCATTACCCAGGTGCCCCTCTACATCTGGCCAGGGTATTCTATCTCTCAATGTCACAATATACATCCATCTCACTATTTTCATTTCAGTTCGTTCAAGCCTGTGTACTCGTATGTCATCCACTTTAATTGCCCATTTTTTTTATAGTATGTAATGGAACAATGACATATTAATACCATACTGTCTCCTGTAAGGAGGATCTCGTGTTGTTTTATATTGATGTTTGTACAATTCCCCACAGCCTCCACTTCTCCTCACTCTCCCATTTCTCTTCATATCCCATCAAACACTCTCCAACATCGTCCCCAACTCTCACCACTATCCACATTACAGTATCCTCTCTGATGGAAGCAAGTCAGCCCTCACCACCAATGTGCCCCTGCCCTACGCGATGCCCGGGGCTGACACGGTCTACGTTGAGCTGTGGTTCCATGTCGGGCAGAGGAGCATCAGTCAAGACTGCCGCAGCAGGATCAGGCCACCCGGCACCCCTATGGAGTTCCCTAACATGGAGATGGAGGAGGTGACGGCAGATGACCTCCATGTCGTGGTGCAACTGATAGACCCCCAGGGCAATGTGAGGTGAGAGGAAATGTGTGTTGTCAGCCCATACCACAGTAAAGTAGTAGTAGTGTGTCGTCAGATTTCACAGTAGTAAAGTGTCGTCAGCCCATGACACGTTAACAGTGTCATTTCATGTTGCAGGTGTGAGGAAAGGAAGACAGATCACTGGGACAAGAGTCACGTCCACCCTAACAGGGACTTTGAGAGGGTTGAGATGCCTTCCTTCTTCACCCTCTCCTGCGGCGTCATGGAGACCGGGCCCTGGACCCTGCGTGTGTACCAGGTAAAGTCACAACTCAACTCGCCTGATGGTTGACTTATGCTAGAAAAGAACGCCACTACAGGCAGAAGACCAGCGAAGATTTTACTTGTGTAATTACCATAGTCATATCATACAGGGTGAGAGGGAACGCCAGGCACTCTTGATTGTTCACACTGGCGCTATTGTGATAATTTTTCCTTCGCTACAACAGGACGGGGTGAAGGGGGCACGTCACTACGAGATGCCAGTGGTAGTGTTGCCGGGGCCCCATGACCTGCCTCTAGACCCCCGCCAGCAGGAGCAGGTCGACCTACTGCAGGGGCTGTGGACCGTAGAACAGGTGATGCTCCTCCCCGCCACCGACTATTACGGGTATGTATGTATGTATGTGTGTGTGTGTTTTCAGTTTTGGCTCAAATATGTATGTATGTATAAGATTCACCATACTTCCGTCACAGACACAACACTTCAAGTTCAAGACCTGGTTTAGGTTTTAGAGATTATAGACCCACTAGAGGGATGAGTCAGCCTTGAACACGAGGAGCAACCATTATGTATACTGTATATGTATTCTTGTATATGTTTGTATGTATGTAGGGTTGTGCACCTGTGTCTTTTTTAATTGTCACCATCCACTGTCATCATCAGAGACTTACCAAAACTGCCCAAGAGAGAGACAGCGCCTCCCCTCCACCACCCACACAACACGAATAAAGAAAATGTGAATATAGCTGATGATTTGAGACCTAGGGAGGAGGAAGAGAAGAAGGAAAAACAGAAGATGAATGTGAAAGAGGGATGGGAAAGAGATGAGGACGAGGATAAGGCCCACATCAAGGATATCTTCTATCTCTCCAGGCAGCGTCGGTCAGCAGCGGAGATGATACAGCTTGGCCTCCACCATTTCGACCCAACCCTCAGGTAAACATTTCAAGGAGGACCTACCAACCCCCTCACCTCTTCTCTGATTACCATCCCCTACTCCCGCTCCCCACCACCCCCATCTTAAACACCCTTCATCACTTTTCTGTAAAGTATATGATTTTATTTTTTTGATAAATATATAGTTTTCCTCTCTCTCTCTCTCTCTCTCTCTCTCTCTTCTGCCTCTGGTGTATGATATGTTTACCAACCCTTGTGTGGTGCTGCCTGGCATATAATTCTCATGCCATGCTAATAATAATAATAATAATAATAATAATAATAATAATAATAATAATAATAATAATAATAATAATAATAATATAATTAACAGTCTGTTGAAAAGTACAGCAGCCATAAGCGGAAAATACACAAAAGAAATACGTGGTCCACATCTGTACAGTGTATACAAAATACATTTTGTGCGTGTGTGTGTCTGTATTTTCATTATGCATTTCCACAGTTTTAAAGATATTTGGTAGGGAGGTGCAGGTGACCTAGGGGATGGTCATACACTATCTCCTGTCCCTTCACCTGGACTGAAACAAGGTAACTCAACTAATACGAAAAGGAGAATAGGTAAGGAATGAACACAAAATTTATCTACGAATTATGATGCTTTTTACAATGGTTGAAGTGGGGCTATTCTTGTAGAGATCAGTACAAGGTCTTATAGCCTGGATGCGGTTGTAGTGCCTGACAACAACTTGTGGACAGGCGGTAGCAGGTGACGGTGGCAGCTGAGATCACGAAGAAGATCAGAAAGAGTTGAGAGGGTGTGTGGACTGAGCGTCTGTTGATATGTGGTGTAAGAGAGGGAGAGAATAATCTTGCACAGGGGCCTTCTGCTGCACTTTATCCATGAGTCCTCGTTGTGTAGCAGTTAATGAAGAAGACCGGACAGGGGAAGCATAGATGAATTTAGGAAGTATGAATGTTATGTAAATATTCATAAGCCCAGAAGAAGAAGTCCAAGGGTTTTGAGAGGATGGAAGATGTGGAGACGATAGTTGAAAAATTTGATGAGTGTACTAACTTGTCCCTCCAGATTAGTTTGTTATCCTCATTCTGGAGAGTGTTGGGGCTCAATGTGATGGGGGGAGTGGGACATGGTCAGAGGATAGGTTAATGTACATAACCATGGTCTTGGTATGGTTGATGGTGACATGATTGGGAGTGGATCAATCTTGGAGACTATTCAGTGTGTTCTGGAGAGTGCTGTAATCTGGGACCGAGTTGTTCATACTGATGCCAATGGTGGAATTGTCGACATGTTTCCAACGACCGAGAGTGTCCTTCAGGGCATCGCCTTGGGGGATGCTGCAGGTGAGTGACTGAAAGGTGAAGACAAGCCCTTGGGAAACGTGCAGCTTGACATCGGTCGCTAAGGAAGTTTATGAGCCATTGGAAGAGACTCCTTTGAATCCCAAGATCGATGGCTTTATTAATAACTATGTTGTCATTGAAGTTTATTAGTTTATGAAGGTGAGTCACAAGGGTATCTGGTGTGCAGTTGATGGTCTTTGGTGCCTGCCATGTCAGCGTAAAGTCCATATCTGGCTGGTATTGCGGGAATGGCAATAGAACGTACAGTAACTCGTTTAAAGATTGTGAACATGTTGACTTATAAATTCTTCCAATCAGCTGGACATTTTGCTTGTCTGGTGGAAGCATTAATGATGGGTTAGGTTAGGGGGAAGGTTTATGTTTTGTTATGTTATGTTATGTTATGTTAGTATAGATCTGATTAGGTATCCTCCAAATTGTTAACTCTCACATATCATAACGCTATCCCGTGCCTGTAACCTGACATAAACATGAAAATGTGGTCCCAGACAGTTAGTGATTTTGTGGTTATTTAGTCTCATTTCCAGTCTGACAGAAAACGTGAGACTAATACAAATTTGATCTTGTGACAGATATCAGAGCACTTGTTCACCGCTTTTGAGGATGAAGGAGGCGAAGGAGGAGGCAGATAAGACACAGGAAAGAAGACAGGAGGCAGGAGGAGGAGGAAAAGAAGAGGCAGGAGGATGCTAAGATTGAATGAGGCGGAAGACAAGGAGGGAATATGACAAAAGCTACAAGGACGACCCGATTCACTTTTTTTTTTAATTTTCACCACTTATCAGCTTACTAGCCATTCGGGTAGTTGGTTTATCCAGTGTAGTACAGAATGAAACCGGAGACCAGAGTCCGGGAAATCTGTGATGTTTAGTAGTAAGGGCCACATTGGCTAACACCCTTCTCATATTGTGTGTCTGGGCCAAGTGAATACTTATTGGGAGTGAGAGAGCGGGAAAGAGACAGCAAGAGGAACAGAGAGAGTGAAACAACATGCATACCGTAAACAGAATAAAATCCCACTGAGAAATCAATAAAAATAAATGAGTCGATCTTTTGTGACTCGAATTTCTCAGATACTATTCACATTGCTTACAAATTCAGATAATCATAAAGTATCGTTCACAAATTAAATCGAACGAAACATTCTGTCATTGAGTGATTGAATATAAATGAATAAAAAGCTGATCAAGACAAGCCCACACACCAAGCTGGAACAAAACACGTAAAAAAGCTTACTAGACGTGAATAAAAGTCAACCGTGTGAAACGACTCGACATATAATGGTCATATCAAGATGTATACATACTGTAACCCAGGTATAGGTAGTGACTTTATAGGTCCTCCTGATTTAGAGCTAATTATTTTCAGTTGGCTATAAGCAATTACGTAATATGAAATTTTTTTGACTGTTAAGTTAATATCAAGCCTACAGGCGAAAAGTTTACTCTTATCGTTAAGTATGAATGTACGTATATTATGTATACTTGTTTGTCTATGTATGATTGTATTTATGTAAGTAAAATATTTATAGTCATGTATTATATGTATACTGATTAATATACGGTAAATGTAATAATAATAATAATAATAATAATAATTAACGGTTTATTGAAAGAGCTTGGCAGCCAGAAGGCTGAAAATATACAGTTACATATTTGGGAATGGGTTACGAATTACAAATAATATACAAGTGACATAAGTGACACAAATAAGACATATAAAACTTAGATGGGGATCAGCTCAAACTACAGTTCATTTTCAACATAGTGACAGTGTAGGGAGCAGTGTTTACTGGGAGTGAATACACTGATTTATTACATGTTATTGATAATTTTTACAATGGTTGGGACTGGGCTGTTCTTATAGCGATGGGTCTGTGTACGTATGGGCTGGATGTTGTGGTGTCGAATACAACTCGGACAGGGGATCTCAGGTGGTAGTAGGGGTGTCGGGGATGGTGTAGAAGCATGTACCGTATGTATGTATGTAGCAAGATAACTATACTTCAGTATACCTCAAGAACCGGGACAGTGTGGTCCACTTTTGGCTTCTGGTGGTGGTGGACCAAGATCAAGGTCAGAGAAGCATCATGTCAGGGGTCATAATCATATCAGGAGTTCAACGATGCCGTGTGTGGTAAGTTCAGAGCACCATCTTAGTTGTGTCGTATATACTAGCTCACAGGACCACGCCAGCTTCTCCTGCCATGACTCCTGCCGTAGCTGTCTACTCTGCCTCTTTCCTCTCGCCTCCGTATAAAAGGTACTTAATTTTTCACGATAATCTAAAATGAGTTAAAAGACATAAATTAAAAATTATAAATAAAATCGGTATATAAAGATTAATAATCACAAGGTCAATTGATTCTTACTCATACAGCCTAGTCGAGAACTTTACCGCCAGGCACTTCCTCCGCCTTGTTGACTTACTTAAATTTCTTAACCGAGTTACTTGACAATGTACTACACACCTTTACTTTTGCGTGTCAAGTGTTAATACCTCCGAGTTTTATTGCATGTTCGTTGGTTGGATATCTTAATAAAAGCACATAGAGATTAATGAGGGGATTAGCAGTCCATCTTGTGAGCTTTAAGCCCAAATATTAAGGATAATCTGTTGATGTTATACTGTATTTTTGCGCTTTAACAATTAGTCATCATATTTGTTTGTATATCATGATGTACAGTAAGTTGAATTCATTTATTATTATTATTTATGTGTTGTAGCCAATACATACTTAAATAAGTCCATTTTCATTGTATATTACAGTGTAAGAGAGTGGTTCGCGTGTGGGGGCGGGCTGCTCACCACACTACTGATGCTGGTGTTCACGTATCATTGGGTGGTGCTGCCGGGGCTGTTCTCCGTCAGGGTCTCCCGCAGGATGAAACGCTCAGCCCTCCTGGTTTTTGTGGCTATCTTAGTGCAGATCCTTGTTTGTTCCTTCTTCTGTAGCTGATGTCTTTACCTGTGTGTGTGTGTGTGTGTGTACTGCTGTATTTTAGGGAAGTTTGTGCTTGTATGTACAGTACACCCTGTATCACTGTTCTGAAATAACACACTTAAATATAATTTGAATTTTGTATTTGATACAGAAAATGTAATTGATAAAAACAAACTTAGTGATGGAATTATTGCAAAATTTAATTCGTTGTGGGAAAAATAAAATTATGATTTTTTTTATATCCTGAACATAATATACAGTATTTATTAAAATGTTGTTGATGTAATTATCCAAACTTATATTAGTAAAGATAGTTATTATCTTTAACTGAGCAGTATGTCCACCGTGGTGGTTATAGCAATTTTAAATTAAATTTGTTTAATAACTGACTGAATAAAATGCATTTACATGGATAATAAAATATGAAGGTTCACTTGTGCTGTTATGTGAAATGCAGTATACATATAAGTAGATTAATAGCTTCATACATGATCTAACCTATCTTAGGTATAATAGTTGCCTTGTCTAAAAAACTCAAATAGAACAGCAAATTTTACCTATACGAATGAATTATTGCACTAAGTAGTAACAATAAAATGCAGTTATCACGATCTGACTATATCTTAATTTGCTTTTTAAAGCATAATCGGTTTCCCTATTTAGCATTACATGACTGAATATATCACACATTACAGTTCCTCTGTGCCATATCAGCAGCTTAAACAATTTAATAATATTTGATAGAGGTACTATCGTGCACCAAAGTCGTGTCCACTACCCAGCCACAGTGAGGGTTTGAATTACCTTGAGTCTGAAGTTTCGAAACAGCTGGGGGAAATGCTATGGTCAGCCAACAGATGTCGCCCACTGTAGTGTGTGGTGGGGGGGGAATAGAGGTGGTGGGGGGGGGAATAGAGGTGGTGGGGGTTAGTCTAGTAACAGGCTGTGTGTAGGTGGAGCATAACATCATGAATTCCGCAATCACTGATAACAATAAGAATGTCATGAAGATAGTTAATATTATTAAGCATGGTGAGAGATGTGTAACGGGTAAATAAAAGCACTACAACGACCATATCTCTGCCGTTCATGGCTACGACGGTGAGACTGATGGGCACACCGGTAATTAATTCTCCGTGACGTAGTCACGGAGAATACACAAATTGTTACTAGGGTTGGCGCCACCCACACCAGGGGAAGGAGGTGATGTCGAACACTGAAACATGCCGAGGTCTCATTCCTACCATCGTCGTCACCAACAGGTAAGACACATTAATTTGTCATTATAGCCCATGTCGTCCTTATACTATTGCAGGGTGTCCTATGAGTGACAGCAGATATTAGTAGAGGTGAAAGAATATGTGATATTGAGTTGAAAATCTTCTATACACATAAGCATTTTTCGGTTTACTTTAGGCATGAGGTGGGTTGTAAAAATTACACAAGGCAAAAATTTTGCCATGTTATATTTTATTTTTCTTACCAATTGCAGCCATACTGTGTGCTGTTGTAATCCTTATTGGTGGATTACATAAGGCCTATTAATAGCGTGAAAACCCGTTTGAAGATACTGTAATGTTCCATAACTTGCATTAAACATCATCGTACGTTCATGAGTTCCAACTCCGCGCCTAGCCTCCCCCCACCTCGCCTCTACCCACCCAATTATTAAACCTCATAATTTGAGCATCGTGGGTTACCACACCTCAACACTAATCGACTACTTATTCTCTCCCCACACTCCTCCTCCACCATCCCCCCACTCCACTCCTCCCTCCTCCACCTCTTCCCTTCATCCCTCCCCCAAGACCAACGTCAATCAAACATTCCATCCCATCACAATACCTTCCCCTGCATTCCCCTATTCTACCCATGGCGACGATTTGAACTACTGTAATGAACACTCACAGAACCACCATACGGCTCCTC